AATGAATGCTTTTATTCAGCAAGGATGTGTTAAATGGATAAAAAGGGATAGTAAAGACTCATATTGTTAGAAAAGATTTTAAATTTTAAATAAATGCTGTTCTTTTTTAACTTTTTATTCATAAAAGAATCCAGAAAAAAGTTTCCAGTTTCCAAAAAAACAAAAAAAAAAAACATGAAGCAGCACAACTGTTTCCAGCACTGATAATAAATCAGCATATTAGAATGATTTCTGAAGGATCATGTGACACTGAAGACTGGAGTAATGATGCTGAAGATTCAGCTTTGATCACAGAAATTAATTATATTTTAAAGTATATTAAAACAGAAAACCAATATTAGAAATTGAAATAATATCTCACAATATTACAGTTTTTCTTATATTTTTGATTAAATAAATACAGCCTCGATGAGCACAAGAGACTCCATTAAAAAACATTAAACATCTTACTGATCCCAAACTTTTTCTTGTCAGGTGCTCTCTAACCTCATCAGGCATTATAGGAGAAAACTCAGAGCTGTTATTATGCCAAATGGAGGTTTCAAAAAGCATTGAATAAAAGCGTGCCGTTAATTGTGTCCAACGTGTATTAGAGAAAAACATTTATGTCATAATGACATTTCCCGCCATTTTAAATTCTTATTCTCCAATGAAAGGTTAGATTTATGTGAATTTTTAAAATAAAAGATCAAAATTATTAACAATGCAGATTTATTTTCACAACCTTCTTTGATCATATTTACCAAGGGTGCCAATAATTCTGACCACAACTGTATGTGTGCTCTAGCAGTAGAGCCCAGCAGATTTGTGGCTTGTATTTAGGCTAGACTTCTTGTAAACTCAAAACAAGTAGCGTTAGGAGGGCCTTGTGCATTTGATTATCTTTTAAATGGGTTTTGTATATTGCATCAGTCTTGAAACAATTTTCAGAGATTTTGTCTGAACAAAACATGCTCTTGTAGCAGTACACAATACTTTAGTTCCCATGAAGATGAGCTCCTGGCTGATGTTTCCTTTAAACAGTCATGCTTGTGAGCTCAGATAACATTCATGTGACACTGAAGACTGGAGTAATGATGCTGAAGATTCAGCTTTGATCACAGAAATTAATTATATTTTAAAGTATATTAAAACAGAAAACCAATATTAGAAATTGAAATAATATCTCACAATATTACAGTTTTTCTTATATTTTTGATTAAATAAATACAGCCTCGATGAGCACAAGAGACTCCATTAAAAAACATTAAACATCTTACTGATCCCAAACTTTTGAATGGCAGTGTATGTATATATATATATCCTCCTGAGACCCAGCTATGGAGTTTTTGCCTCTGTAGTGGACATTATATTTTAGTGGATTTCTCTGAGACCTCACATGACACAGTTGTAAGTCTGGATGTCCTGTACAGAGCACATTCAGGGCTTTCCAGAGATACCAAATGATTGGATGTTTCACCGTGGCCACTCCCTCTCCTTGGTTTTTAAAAATGGCTGACATTAATTTAATGATTAAATTGCACATCCTTATGGAAATATGATAATATTTTGTAATTACAATTTAAATCTGATTAATTTTCAAATTGTTTGTCATCAACATCTCAGGAAAATGTTATGGGGTTTCAAATCAAAATATGACTTCCTGTTATGAAACAGGACATGATTTCATACATGTCCACTGTAGAGGACACCAGGACTAAAAGCATGTTTATTATACATTTTGGGAGACAAAAGAACTGAAAAGGAAAACAAATTATATAGCAATATTCTTATGAAACATTAGATATTATTATGAAAATCTGGCCAATTACTACTCCCATTATTACACTTCTTTTTTCAACATGCTGTCCCAACAGCACTTTAATATGCAAATTAGATACAGTGTATAGATAACATTGTGCTTAATGGGGAAACCAGTTTATGGAATTTTTACACACATATTTCATAAAGCAAAATGGTATATCAAATCATTTTGTTATATATTTTATAACATAGTTGAGAACCATCCTTAAACAAAGTTAGGTATAAAAAAATCCTGAAACCTAAAAATTGATTGGAGATTTAAAAAAAATTCCCATTGTTTTTGCCTTTTCATGTCTACTCTTGTCATTTTATTTTTAGAAAAACTGAGTCCTGGTGTCCTCTACAGAGGACATAGCATAACATATCAATAAAATAGAATTAAAAAAAAAATGTATTTTACCTTTTTTTCCCCTTATGCTCTAAACCAGTGTTTCCCAACCTTTTTTTAGTCGCGGCACCCTTTGGAAATTTTAACAAACTTGTGGCACCCTACAAAATTAATTTTGTCACAATATTTGAATTTCTAACTTCCGATATGATAATTTGAAAAGTATAGATATTCGGTACAACAGGGAAGAACTGCAGAATATAATGTCATACAGATATTTTTAATATTATTAAAAAAATTTGTCCATCAATGGTGGCAATCAGTAGGCTAATTTCTAATGAAGAGACCAATTTATATGACAGATTTTAATGTAGGCTTTTATACATATGTAAACATTATATAATTACCATTACAACTAGCTATCTCCCACATTTTTGCTCATTCAGTGTTTTTTTAATTTTACAGTGGGGTCATTTTGGTGCAGCAGCACGAGATAGCTTGATTTCAAACTTTGAATTGAATAAAAAATGACAAGTAAGCAGTCAGTAATAAAATAAGAACAAATAAAGAAATTAATAATGATAGCACAAATAAAAAATAACGACAGGCCTTCGAATGAAATAAATTGCTTTTTAGTTTTTCAGGTAGTTCTAACAGTAGGGTTAAGATATTTTAAAAAAAATAAAATAAAATGTTTTAACAATTATCCAAATAATGTTTAGTCCTAGAAAGCTATTATTATCAGAGGACACATGAGCATAACATAGCGGTTAGCGGATCAATGAATAAGAGGGCAGCGTTACCAGAGTCGCCCATTTACCGCACCATGTTACAACACAGTAGGGTTATTGCAGACAGAAACAATACTGTACTACATCGATGTTTCCTGTCAGCTCGATTTTTGAGTGGACTTTGCTGTTCCGATGAGCATGAACGGTATACGAGTGGAGCGACTGAGCGGAGCGCACACATAGAGCGGGATAATACGCAGAGCTTCACACCACGTGAAAGTGAATCCTGAGCGGTGAACTAATTTTCGGCAGCTGAACTTTCGGTGCATCTCTAATTATTGGCGACATCAGAAATGAAATATTTTATAATAGATGCTTTTTTGAACAGTTTAGCAATTTAAAAATATTAAAAAAGGATTTGTTTTACACGGCACCCCTGCTCTCGACAGACGGCACCCCGGTTGGGAAACACTGCTCTAAACAATGAAATGACATGAACAAACACTAAAATCACAAAGCTTTTTATTTCTGGTTCTCAGGAGGATATATATATATATATATATAAACGTACGTAAGTGGAGTTTTTGAAAAAATCTGGAGTAATAGCTGCTTTGCCATCACAGGAATAAACTACACTTCAAAAACAGAAACCATTATTTTAATTTGGTGGTAATATTTCACAATATCACTGTTTTTCTTGTATGTTTAATCAAATGAAATACACCACAGCTTATAACATTGTCATGTGCATGTGTCCTCAAAATCAATGACTCCCAAATGGCTAAAACTGGGCTGTGTATAATATGATACAGCAATTTGTCTACTGAATATGAGGTGCAACATTTAGATATGACCTGCGAGATTGAGGTAGTCCCATGTGGCTCCTTTAGGACAGTTCTTCTTGATGTTAATGGCCCATTGATAATCACTCCAGCGCTCCTTCCACGCCTGCAGGATAGCCTGCTTCAGATTCACCACCTTCATTCTGTCTGTTTTTTAAACTCTAAACCAAAACATCAATTAATCAACAGCATAAATTGATTTTAAAGTCACATCCCAGTGTATATCAGCTCATGATGCTCATGATCTCCAATCTCATCTCATAAATACAACACATACTTATAGTAAACAGTATATAGATAACGTGTAAAAATGTGATAAAATGCCAATTTCTTATTTCTTATTATTAAAATCCCGCTTACCACAAAATAGTCAAGTTTATGCAGTAAATGAATCAGGTTTTTGTTCGTTTACAATTCCCTTCACCCCAACGCCGCCATGTTGGTTTATAAGAACGCGTCTTCTGATTGCACGAGAGTGCGTGTTTGCTGCAGTAAAGATCAATCCGATTGGGTGGTCTGATGTAGCGTCTCTTGATTGGACGGGAGATTGTGTTGAACTTTAATTTCGAAAGAAATGCTGGAAGTGTAAATGTAGGAGTTTTCACTAACCGTCAAGTATGTAATATATCACAAGCAATACTATATCTGTACACGACGTCATTGTGATACCATGGTTTTCTTTGAAAATAAATACATATAATAGGTGTATGTGGTAATTATAATTGAGTATCAGGGTATAAATCAAATAGCATTAAATCACTGTACCATCCTCACACTCTTAAAAATAAAGGTTTCCAAGTGCAGTGCAATTTTGTAAATATAATGATGTCATTCAAATTCAAAAATGCATAATTCTGGGGCCAGTTAAGACTGTATCTTAAGAACTTGTCCAAGAATTGAGCCCATAGATAACCAGTCTCACTTTTCTGATTAAAATCGGGCAAATCTAAATTTTTGTAACTAACCTTAAACAGTTATGACCAGTCCAGAAGAAAAAAAAAATTAGATGGCTAACTTTAAGACTACTCTAAGCAGTTTTAGCAACCGGCCCCAGTTCACTTTGTGAACCAGCTCAACTGAATCGGCTCAGAAGAATTTTGATATTGCCGTCTTGATGTCCAATGTGAAATGTCTCAGGTACGGGAGATCGATGATGGACAAATTATCATTTTTAGGTACACTGGTCACCTAAATGTTTCTGATTCATTCTGGCTCATTCGTTCGGACTATGTCAGCCCGTAGATTCAGAAGCAGCATCCCAGAAGTTCCTGTTGCTCATCCAGGTTCTGCCCAAAGCTGTAAAATCACATTCAGGACATTGATTTTTTCCCCTACAGTCCCACAACACTCCACACATTGTTATATGTCATCCTTGTGCCATAGGCTTCATCTCAGAACACTCACCTAATCTGTAATGACAGATCTAATGATAAATGTGGCATATGAATGTCCACATACTCTGATTAATATGAGTTATGCCAATTTGTCATTTATTTTGTCAAGTGTAAGTCTGTCATTAAAGGGTTCACCCAAAAATGAAAAATTAGCCCATAAATTACTCACCCTCAAGTCATCCTAGCTGTATATGACTTTCTTCTTTCAGACGAATCTGAAAGTTTCTGAGAGTTATTTAAAAAAAATTGTCTTTGATCTTTCAAGCTGTTTATGGCACTCAGCAGGTGTTGCAGTGCTTCAGTCCAAAACAAGTTAAATAAAAAGCGCCCATCCATAAAAAACAAGTGTCTCACACGGCTCCAGGGGGTGAACAAAGGCCTCCTGTACTGAATCGATGCGTTTTTGTAAGAAAAATATCGACTCCGGGTGGTGAACAAAGTCCTCCTGTAGCGAATGGATGCGTTTTTGTAAGAAAAATAACCATATTTAAAACATAATAATCACTTTAATCTAGCTTGCGCCAACAGTTGTACACGCAAGCAGCTCCAGGCTGATGACAAGTACTTCTAATTTTACTTCTAATTTTGTACTTCTAATTTGTGACCGTTTTACGTTTTTAAATATGATTATTTTTCTTACAAAAACGCACCGATTCGCTACAGGAGGCCTTTGTTCACCACCCGGAGCTGTGTGAGACACTTTTTATTATGGATGGGCTCTTTTTATTTAACTTCTTTTGGACTGATGCACTGCAACAACCACTGAGTGCCATTAAAGGGTTAGTTCACCCAAAAATGAAAATTAGACTGTGTTTATCCGCCGGAACTGCTTCAGTGTATGACAGTCAGCGGAAGTGAGAGAAAAGTGTTTATTACGTTTGAAATATGGATATTTTTCTTACAAAAACACATGGATTAGCTACAGGGAGCCTTATTCATCCCCCGGAGCCATCTGCGGCACGTTTTATTATGAATGCGCGAGCTTTATTTGACGACTTGTGGACTGTTCAACTGCAACACCCGCTGACTGCAATGATAGAGTTTGGAATAGCTAGGACAATTTTTAATAAAACTCTGACTGGATTCGTCTGAAAGAAGAAAGTCATATACACCTAGGATGCTTCGAGGGTAAGTAAAGCACAGTCTAATTTTCATTTTTGGGTGAACTAACCCTTTAAACAGCTTGAAAGTTCAAAGACAATTTTTAATATAACTCCGACTGTATTCGTCTGAAAGAAGAAAGTCATATACACCTAGGAAGACTTGAGGGTGAGTAATTTATGGGCTAATTTTCATTTTTGGGTGAACTAACCCTTTAAGATGGCTAAGCCTGGTTTTGAAACGAGTTTCACTTCATGGTCCAGTTATCTATAATCCAGATTATTCAAGCATATCTTGAACTCTTCAGACACCTTGCACACGTTCCTGAATCAGTTTTTGAATAAAATATGTAAATGAAAAAATTTTGCAAGTTATCTTTATTACTATATCCATCAATAATACATTGTGAAAGCCAACACAATGTTTGACATTAATAATGACACCTGCAGTGTATTGTATTCAGTCTTTCAGAAGATTCAGTCTTTCCATCAAGTGGTCAGTAATTTTTGTCCATCTTCACTGTGTCCATTTTTCCCGCTGTCCCGTTTTCCGTGAACTCCGTTCTGTCGCTCTGTCCTATCTTTACCAGCAGCAGAAAGCATTTTCTTTTTAAAACTGAAATCTGTGCCACGGCTGCTGTCACAGTCATTCTGGGAAGAAAAAAAAGACACAGAATGGTTTAGAGCGACAGTTTTTTTTTTCACAAGGAACAAAATATATTTGTTGGTTACAGGTGTAATGTTCGAAGAATGACCGCTAAAGCAAACCAACAGGCACATGTACCAAATGCTTTAATTTAGGATATTGAAACAGCACAAACCACCTTTAATATGATTAAGCTAGTGTGAATCTGTTTCACTTCAATATAATATGATTGTCCTTCTTATTGAAAGATGCTTTGTAGCAGTGTGCCAGAGCCATTGATCTCCAAATGTTCCTGTTTGCATTTGAGAGGACTGAAACTGCACTTCATGAAAAATCTATATTAATGTTCTACCTGTATATTGAGATGTTCTTGCAAGCAGTTCTGCAACCTTTCTGTACCTTTTTGGATTTAGCATTAACTAGCTGCACTCTTAGGTGTATTTATATACACTAAAAGTCAAAGGTTAGGAAAAATTAAGATTTTTAAAATGTTTTTGATTATGCTCATCAAGGCTGCATTTATTTGATTAAAAATATAATATATTTTCAAATGTAATTTATTCCTGTGATTGCAAAGCTAAATTTTCTTAATTTAGTTTCTTAATATTACTCCAGTCTGCAGTGTCACATGATCCTTCAGAAATTATTCTAATATGCAGATTTGGGGCTCAGATATTATTAATCATTATTGGTTCTCAATTAGTAATAATGGTTCTTATAATTATCAATGTTGAAAGTGTTTTTTGCTGCCTTTTTTGTGGAAACGGTACTACATTTTTTTTCAGGATTCTTTGATAAATAGAAAGTTCAAAAAACATAATTTATTTGAAATAGAAATCATTTGTAACATGATTATGAATGTCTTTACTGTCACTTTTGATCAAATGTAATGTGTCCTTGCTGAATAAAGGTATTAATAAATGTATAATTGTTTAAACCTGAGCCCAAACTTTTAAATGGTATCACGGTTTCCACAAAAATATAAGCAGCAAAAATAGTTTTCAACATTGATAATGACAAAAAATGTTTCTTGAGCATCAAACCAGCATATTTTAATGATTTCTGAAGAATCATGTGAAACTGAATACTGGAGTAATGGCTGCTAAAAATTCAGCTTTTGAGTGAGTAATTTCTACAGTAGAGTTTAAGTTATGTTATCTCACCTCGTCTGAATGCTCGGGGAGGGTCTGATAGGGTTGTGATGACTCAGTCTTGCAGGGTCTGCAGTCTTCCAGTAAACCCACTGAAGAATCAAACTCCTCATCGGTACTGGAGCCCTTGAAGAAAGAGGAATGAGTGCTGTACAGTGCTGTAATACTCCATAATTGGCTGTTTAAAATAAATAATTAATTTCTGTCAAAGAGGCTATTGATTTAATCTGTGAGAGAATTCATATAGAAATTGTGGTGTGCATCATTATTTTCATTCCATTAAATGGCTCACTGTAACTGTTTTTGTTTTTCTACCAGTCTACCAGTGATAGTAATTTGCAACTGCAATTTTTTTCATCACCCTCTCTCTGACCCGTACAATTAATTGGCTCATTTTTGCAGCTGTGCCTTTAAAACGTTCTATGTAAACACCTCCTTTTTGTGAAATGAGAAATACTGTACACACAGAGGCTGTGGGTTTGCTATCGGACCAATATTTTAACTGCCCAAACCCTCAATCCTTCAAATTTGCTGCCTTAAACTATTAATATCAGACTGAAAATAAACTTCCGCCATTCTTTCTAATATTTTAAGCTATAGAGTGCTGCAGGGATGACATAAAACCTGGAAACGAGTTAGCATTTTAGCACTTTTGGTTCCACCATCCTAATATCAATTATATTTTGAATAGGTTTTTGGTTAAATGCTTGAAATAAGGTCTGGTTAACACAAGCTTTTTTATATGACATAAAATACATCAGTAATACCCCTTTGTGATTTTTCTTTTTTTAAGTTTTCACTTGATTCGAAAAGGGTGGTTGCTAACAAGTGGTTAAATGGGAGGTTTTTGGAGAACAGGTGAACTCATCTACTCACTAGTCCACTTTTACAGCCTCATTGTGTTTAGAACCATGCTCTTGCAAACTATTATATTTCTCAGGGAAACTTTCAAGGAAAACGTTCTTAAAGACCGAAGAGTTGTCAGAAGTTTAATGGTGATGAGTCATGAAATCATGGTTAAGCTCATTCATAGCAAATGTTTTAGCTTTTTTTACTTCTGGCAATTGTATTTATGCTTCAAAATTCATAAAAGCTGTGTTCATTTGTGAATGTTATCATAAAAATTAGGGATGCACAGATACCGATACTGGTATCGGTATCGGACCCGATACTGGTCTTCTGTACTCGTAC